CCCCTCCTAGAACAAGAGCAGAGGTAGAGGAAATAATTCTAATTGGGTGTTGAGTGGTTGTAAACACAGAAATAGACCTGGTGGAGAACCACATCAATCATGTTTGAAATGGTGTCTAACTGAAAATTAACATGTTTTTTTTTCAACATGAAAAATCTCAGTTTCAGCATTTGATTTGTTGCCTTTGTACTATTTTTTTCGGTTAAGTATAGGGCCTTGAAAAAGTATCACCTCCCTGAAGTATTTCTTCTTTTCTTGTTGCCTCACAAGCTGGAATTAAAATGGATTTTTGTTGTTGTTGTTGTATTGATTTACCAACACAACATACCTAACTCGTCGAAGGTGAGAAAAATACATTTTAAAAAATTAAAAGGGTAAAAAAAATAAAAAAAATCTCCAAATCTAAATATATACATTCGTTCACCACGTTGCAGCGAATGGAGCTCCATATATCTTTAGGTCTGTCTCAATAAGTTTGGAGCATTTGGGAATCCCTTAAGACAAAACTAATCAACCTGCTCCGAGCTGTGGGGGCTCTGCTGGTCTTAGAATTACGCCACAATTACATCATTTAGAAGACAGGTTTCTGGCTTTTATCGGTGTTCTTCCCAGGCATATAAAATCCCTCTCAAAACACCATTGTTGTTTTGTAGTAGTAAAAAGTGGTCACTGTGGTTTTGAAAGGGGAATCCTCACTGTCCATCGTACCATTTCCCCATAATGCACAAATGAGGGATAGCAAGACATTCATGGCTGCTGGGCAAAGAGACATTAGTTAGACTATAGTCAACACTAAGATCAAAGAGGCAAACTGTGCACACTTAGATTTTAGGTGAATTTAGAAACACCAATCAAGCAAATATGGATTTTTATGGAATGTGGGAAAAAGGTGGATGACCTGGATATATCCTATGTTTGCAAACTCTAATTTCTCATTCCCGTCAGCACTTTAGCAGAAGCCTGTATCAGGTTTTCTACAAGAATCAAGCATTATTTTGCTTTTGACCAGTCTTACCACTGGTCAAATCCCCACAGAAAAAGGTTCCACCTCAGATATTTCCTGTGGAGAGAGTGGCATGGATAGATTTTCCTCAAACACCATCTGTGCAGTCTATTGCACGGTTACCTTTGGACTTTTCCCCCACTCTCTTCTTAAAGGCTGTGCTGCTTAATTTGTGATTTTCATTATTTGACCCCGCGAGCTTTGTTTGATGCTGTATTTCAATTTAGTCACGTTCCAGTAAATGCTCAAATCTTTCAAACAAATTTGAAATGACTTCTGAAAACAAACAAATCACCACATTTTGATGAAGAGCTTCAGGTCGCTGCCTTTCATTTAATTTATTTTGTCGCTTTTTTTTTCCAAAAAAGCTTTTTTATGACATTAACATCTAAATAGTTCAGTTTCGTCTCAGCTGTTTGAATTAAATGACCAAATAATGACCCAACAAGATCTAATATTGTGATATGTTCTATAATAGTATCAGTATGAGTTAACTGTGCTCCTTTATATCAATATACCTTTCCTTACATGAAAACAACATCTTTTTCAAATAATCTACTTGTATCTCCTGCATTCATGCCTCTTTCAATTTCTCCCCAAATCCCTCTTCTATCTAACTCATTTAACATTTCGGGCCATCATACAAGTGGGGGGCCAAAAGTCCTTCACCGATGCACGGAGACGCTAATTACCTGCTAATGGCCTGTCTTTTTTCTGACATTAGTGGTTCTCTGTAATTGCTGATATTATCTGTAATCAACCTCAAAGTAACAAATAAGAATGTCTTTCAGAGGGGGCATTTGTCCCTAAAAAGATTACTTGATTAAGCAATTTGTTAATCATTCCATTGTTTGTGATTCAAGCTGCTTAGCTCGAGCACATTCTCGTTCCAGCCTCTCAAACCCCCAAATCCCCGTTTTATGACACTTTAAACTGAATATATTTGGTCATGTCCAATTATTGAATTAGACAGGCGGTCAGTAGCGACAGTGGTTGACTATGTGTGAAAGTACCAGGTTTGACATGAGGAGATACGGCCTTTTGTGTATAACGTGGGTCTGTTTTCCACTCTGAGAACCCAAACCACAGCAGGAAACGTGTTGCCAAACCATTTCCTGTTCCAAATGCACGCTGCCTCACAGGTACCTTCATTTCAAATGACAGAGCCGACGCCGGGGTTTATTTTAGGCCTCGCCGTTCGCCGGGAGAGCGCGGCCTGCGCTAAACGCTCCTCTAATAAGTGCAATCTCCTGTTTTTTCCAGGTGGTTCTGGGAATCCAGTGCGAGCTGCGGAAGCAGCTGAGGAGCTTCATCTCTCTGCAGAGGCTGCCCCTGGTGTCGGAGCCCGTGGGCTCCAGCTGCCACAGGCCGTCGCGCCCGCCCCCCTTCGGCTCCCGGCCCTCCATCCTCGGCCCCAGCATCCGCTTCGCCGTCGCGCGCGGCCGGGTGAGCGCCGAGGTCATCGGGGTGGCCAGCGAGGACAGCCGGCGGGTGGCGGCCATCCTGAACGGCGCCGTCCACCTGGGCGGGCTGGCCTTCACCGTGCACGGCTGCGACACCCACCACTTCCTCCAGTCGCGCCCCATCGAGGAGGACCTGGCCCTGGGCCTGGGCGTCGGCGGCCGCGTGCTGGAGAGCGGCGTGAACGTGAGCGTGTCGCAGATGAGCGCCACGGTGGGCGGCAGGACTCGGCGCTTCGCCGACATCACCCTGCAGCAGGGCGCGCTGTGCCTGTGCGTGCGCTACGGCGGCAGCGAGGAGGAGGAGAGGGCGCGGGTGCGGGAGGAGGCGCGGAGGCGGGCGGTGGAGAGGGCCTGGGAGACGGAGAGGAAGCGGCTGGATTCGGGAGACGCGGGGAGCCGGGCGTGGAGCGAGGCCGAGCGGCAGCAGCTGCTGACCGGGGGGCGCGTCCAGGGTTACGACGGCTACTACTCCCTGCCTATAGAGCAGCAGCCAGAGCTGTCCGACTGCGCCTCCAACATCCACTTTATGACACTGAGCGAGGTGGGGGGCAGGTAACAGAGACACGCGAGCAGCTCCCCCCCCCCCCCCCACCCCACCCCACCAAAGACTGCCTGTTTCTACTCTGCTCCGATTTGTTCTACTCTTTCTATACTGTACCGGAAAAAAAGAAGACGACAAGGAAGAACAAGGAGAGAAATTAGGGGAGAGGGGGAAAAAAAACTTCCAAATGCCTTTAATTGTGACAAAATGATGGTATTTTATTATTATCGTCCAGTTTCTCCGATTTCTAACAGTGGCACAAGCGGTGTGGTTTGGCTGTGGCTTTGCTTTTTGTATCCCAAACGACCGACCGACCGACTGACTGACAGACTGACAGACTGACTGACTGACTCGTGTTTGCTGTTTCAACACTGTTCATCGTTTTGGACTCGGTTCAATATCAGCGAACTGCAGAGACGAACACTGTAGGATTGCCAGTGAATAATCCTCTTCATGACACAAATCAAGAGCTCTCCGGTTGCTTTTTGAGTTCCCACATGGTTTACCTCGAACATGCTATCGTTTACATATTGTGTAAGAGGCCTTGTCGACTCTGACACTCCCCTTTAGAGAAGAAACCTGTGGTTTCCGTCTCTGTTGTGCTCCAACAGTAGTTTGTATGAGTGTGTATACTAAAGTCAAGAATGTACATAGCCAGTGCTTTCACACTGAAAAAAAAGTGCTCAACTGGAAATTCTGTTGTTCCTAAGTGTCAGTATTGTTAATCAGTAGAAAAACAGTTACATTTTTGCAAAGAATTATACATGCTATAGTAAATATTCTCGCTGAAAAAGCTGACTTTATTGGATTACAATGCTGATTAAAGTTATTATGTGTGAATTACCAGCTTGCTGTTTGGGATCTCGTAGGCGCTGTCGCTTATTATGTCTCTTTGTGTCTCTATCGTCTTCCCTCCCTGCGCCTTCCTTCCCGCTCCCTCCACACGTTCGCCGCGCCGCCTTTGTTGGCGTCTCTGGGAGTTTGTAACTCTCAAATCCGGGCTGTCATTATCACCCATCATTACGGCTCAAACCGAGATGTGCATGAGAAACCTGCGTCTGTCAGGAGGGAGGGAGGGAGGGAGGAGGAAGAGGAGGAGGAGAGAGGGTTGGGGGGTGGGGGGAAGCACGGAGGAAGGGAAAGAGAAATGTGACAGCTGAGGCTCAGCGAGTGGGTGGTGAGTGCAGAAGGGGCAGGACCTGGAGTTGGCTCCGCTGTTCTCTACAGCTTGTCTCCTCTCATTAGGGAATGCCAATCAGACTGCATGCGAATCACTTCCAAGCCTCCCCGCACCAAAGTGAAAGTTGAAAAAGAAAAGTGAAGTTTGTTTTTCCTTTTTAAATTCGAGCTACCACTAATTCTCATCTCCATTTGTCCCCCCCCTGCCCACCCCCACCCCCACCTCCCCTCCTCTCTTTCCTCTTGCCTCCCTCCCGACGCCACTCCGCCATCTGCCCGCCATTAATTGTTTGTGTTTCTCTTCTGGGCCGAGGACGACGGAGACGTACGGCGCATATGCTCTGACTGCGAGCAGGTGATATACGTTTCTGACTAGCTCTGCTGATCGGCCGCGATGCGCCTTCCCTTCTAAACCATATGCTCTACAAGATACTGTCCAAGCTCATCTCCCGCGCCGAGGAGATGGAGGGACTGGTTGCTAGGAGACGGCAGCACTGAGGAATTGTCTGGTGGCTGAATGGATGCTCTCGCTGCTTCTCCCCTTCTTTCCTCTCTCAGCGTCCCTCTCTCGTATTTTCCGTGAGGCACCAGTGATGTCAATCAGAGGACTGACGAAGCCCCCCCCCCGTACCCCACCCTCTGAGCTAAACACACACACGCACACACACACACACACTATCTCTCTCTCGCAGTCAGCATTCTCTCCATTTCCAATATGTCAAATTGAATTTCTCCCCCCCGCATTATGTGTCAGACGAAGGCTCGGTTGTGTGTGGCTGCATAAGCATGACCTTATTTAAGAGAGTTTATTTCAGCCAGTATCATTTATTTTCTTTACCACTCACACAGCTCTATTGCATTAGGAGAAGAGAGCACAATATTTGCTGTCAACTTATGTATGCAGTAATAGATATTAATATTTCAACAGTTCAATATCTTACATCACGTCACTGAAAAGTGATGGAGCCTTTTTCTGTGCTGCATATGCAAAAAAAAAAAAAAGAAAGTGGAAGAACAGGGAGATCTGAGTCACAGTAGAAAAAGAAAAGACACTTCCTTCTCGCAGTATGCAAAATGCAGCAGCAGGGATCATGCATAGGCGGAATTGTTCGTAATTATGCATCAGAGTGGAGGAGCGGGGCTCTCCCTTAACCAAAAGCTTGCCGTGCTTCCTTCGACCACTTGCTTATCTGTTCCTGGGCCCCGTGGCCCGTCCTCTGCTGGAGGTGGGGGCTCCTGCGCGTCACCGACAGGCCCTCGGCGGGCGTCTCTGGGTCTGCGCTGCAGCTGGCCCGTCTCTGAGCCGTGACGGGGTACAGCAGTGGGATGGCGAGGCCTTGCCCGGGCTTCTGGAAGGCTGCTATCAAGTTCTTGATTTTCCGGAAATAACGCTTCTGCACGCCTGGAGTGGTCTGAAACACAAGGAGAAGCAGAGGGAGGGGGGTGGAGGAGGAGGAGGAAAGAAGCATAAGTCCGGGAAAAAATCTCAAATCTCCTAATCAAACCACATGAGAATGGAGAGAGACAGGGCCGTGCCGTTTGCACAGAAACTCCAAAGCCCACTGATCTATTTTGCCAAATAAATGGCAATCCGGGCGGTTTTACTATGTCCATCCCCAAAAACACTGGCAAATTGGCACATTATCGGTTGATAAATAAAATGTTGCATTGTCATTATCATAATAGCATAAATGACACATAAACGGCTGCAAGAGAGAAATAAGCAAGAGGACATCCTCAGAAGTTTTAAGTGGTAAATTTGGAAAATTCCAGATGTGCTTGCCTCTTTAAACATTCACTCCAAGAGCTATTTTTATGTATTTCAAGTCATTAATTAAAAAGAAATGTTTTAAAATTACTCCCTGACATAGGTTTCTGATCCCATCAATATATTTATTTGGGACGGAAGGAACCTGAAATAGCAACAGATGATTTTGAAGCCCTGTTGCCTCTGTGAGAAATAAGATCATTTGTTCTCGGTCTAACTCTCTGATTTGAATTTTGGCATTCAGCTGTTTGAAGGCTCTCTCTCTGGGGGGAGCCGTGCGCGATTTGTTAAACGCGCACATCCACTTTCCGCTTGGGTCTGTGCCCGTATAGCCGTCAGGTTTAGGTTTAATATGGCCGTACCATCGCGCATTCCTTCAGAACCGCTCTGATTTTGTCCAGTAAGGCCTTTAGGAACGCATTATGTGTTTTCATTCCGCGCCATCAATCACGCGGTTTGAGAGATGGTGAAAACTATAGTTCTTTAAATGCGTTTTGAAAACCTCTTCATCAGAGGAGGGGGGAGCGCGTTTGGATGCGCGCGTCTCTGGCCACCGGCGTCCCCCCCTATCCCCCCCCCCCCCCCCTGTTCCCCGCAACGTTTCATTAAAGTGATTGATACCGCGCATGAATAATGTAAAGTGGTATCGAGCTGGTCGTTGAAATTCTTGTTATTCAAGTCCAACACAGCCGCCCCAATGTCAACCCACCCTCACCCCCTCCCCCCCCTCCTCCCCGGTCTGTGATGCTGTCAGTAAAAATGAGTGAGGGTGGAATGTTGTTACGACGGGGCCCGGGCTCAGTCGTCACAGGGAGCCAGAGCCCTCAGATGTCTCTATACATTCCCCATCTCTGGGTGTTTGCCAACCCTCAGCGCTCAATTACGTCTCCCATCAGAAATGCTGTCAAATGCAACTCTGCGTTTTACATTCGCGGAGAGTGCGCCCGCGTGGCATCTTTAAATGTGAAGCGCGATGATTTGGTGGGGATGGGGAGGGAGGGGGAAGAGGGGGTAACATGCTCACAGGATGTTATTGCTGTAGGAAAAAGAAATGTAACCATTTTCTCAGCCCTGACACTCCTCAAAAAAAAAAAAAAAATGAAAAAAGTGAAAGAAAGAAAACATGTTTGCCTCAGATCTGCAGCTTGTTGGATTACTCTGGCACCAAAACAACTTCTAACCCAATAAGCAACAGCAGCCACAGAGAAGCAGATGTGCAGCTGCTCTGCAGATTCTGTGCAAAAGGAGAACAAGAGCAAGGTATGCAACAACAACAACAAAAAAATGTTTAAAGCCTCACTTCTGCAGCCCAGGAGCCTGCGTCGTCCTTGCGGAGTCTGTAGGTGTAGACGAATCCTTTATACCTGCAAGCACACAGAAACACAATCGACAAGTTTATATATCGGTTTTATGACAAAAGCGTCTGCCTTGCATCAGTTAATAACATCTCACATGAGCTCAGCTAATGGAATTACTCAAGATTGGGGTTCTGTTTCCGCATGTAAAAGGGATTTTAAGGTCCCGGTGTTCACCTAACATGAAGAACTGAGAACCTGAGAGGCTTCACAATTTCTGATGAGAACGTTACTCACAGCACACACAGGCAGAAGACGCCCGGCACAGAGTCGCTGTTGCGGAGAAGGTAGCTCCCGTCTCGCCCGTCCTGGCCCAGCCGCCTCTCGCCCTCCTCCTTCCCGATGGGCCCGTGGTAGACGGGCAGGTTTTCCATCGCCTGCTTTTCTCCAAATGGCTTCTCTCCCGTCTCTTTTCTCTCCTTTGAGCCCGTCGGGGGTGGCCCTCAGCCCAGGTACACTGCACTCTCACTCAAAACTCTGCCTCACACTGACTCAAACATCTGCATCTGAGAGCTTCGGCCTCCAAGACCTGCGAGGCTTTTTTTTCACCCAACCCGATGGCACCAGCCTCCTCTAACCTCCAGACCTGAGTGATCTGCCGCTCGCCGCCTTCCTCTCTCTATGTAGGACGCATGCCCGCGCATACATGTAAAATGAGGGGTTGTGTATCTTGCAGGAAATGATTACATTTTGCGACAGGAAATCACTTCAAAGATGCTAACTGAATATTTCCACATCAATAGAAAGCAGAAATGAGGGAATTTAAAAAAAAAAAGGCACTATCGCTCCATTCACACAGAGAATACTTTTCCCTTCTCACTTTCTCACATCAACAGAAGTTTCCATAGTCAGGTTACACCTCTGTTTCCGTGAATAATAATGCAAAATCAGCTTGCAGTGCAAAAATATATATGTTCACGGGTGAAGTGACTAAAAGTTACAATAAACTAATTAAAATGTGGGTCAGATATGTCCTCCAAAAAATAGCTATTAAGATAAAAGTTATCCTTTTTATCGGTTCGCTCAATGTTTTATTTATGAAGCAACAAATAACACATCTTATCTTCAGGCACTTTTTAAAAACAAGTGAACTAAAGCAAACCAATTAGATTCCAACTTATTGTAGAATTCAAATTTTGTGATCAGTCAAAAGAATAACTCAGATCTGTTGGATTTGATTGAAATCATTACTGGCAACGAGTCTTTACGGGATTTCACCATCGTGACTGAGGGTGTGAAAAGTCACTAACACTTTTAACTACAAAATGAATATATGAGCGATGAAAAAGTCTGTCAGATTCAACTAAAATACAAAAGGATTTATTCATAAATCACTCTGAAACAGACCCGAGTAAAGACCCTCAGTGGTTGTGTTTGGGTTATGAAACAACACCCAATTTGTAGGCAGAAATCTTATTATGATGTTGATGTTCACTAGACTTATTTATAAATGTTTTAATTCAGTTTACATCTCTATTAGAAATATATTAAACTATTGAAAACAGAAGCGTTAATTAGAAGAAACTAATTTGGAGTTGATACACAGATTTGACATTTACAATCACTGAGGGTTTTAAAAAGCTTCGTTTTTGAATAACATAAATAAATAGGGGCCACGCTGTTATTCTGTGGTCTGAACTGTTGGCCACATGCAGGGTAGATGGCTGTCTTTTGGGGTTAAATGAACAAATGAAAAAGCCCATTGTTGTGAGACCGGTGACCTGAAATGTGTTAGCTGGTATAAAATAACAACTCCAAACAGGAAATAAAGGATAGAATAATAACGGCTGCTTATCTTTCACTCCAGTAGCTTCTTTGACAAACTTTTGATAAAGCGCTTAAATCATAAACAGATGTGTGTAATTAAAACCACAAAAAAAAGCAGTTTGCTACCTATTTTTATATAGGTTTTTGATGCTTCTCAGCATGCATTTCCTAATCACAGGTTCACATATGTTGTCAGCCACATGTCACGTCTGTCTTCTGTTAAATGTGTGCTGAGGAAGCTTGCAGCTGGTGTGCAGCACGGAGAGGAATGAAGCTGCGTGCATGACAATCTCATCCTACAATCTGTCCCATCAGTCATAAAGTTGTTCTGTGGTGAATTAAGAATCTGGTCAATGTTTGCAGCAGTCAGGTGTTTCATAGCAACCTCTCAAGCTGATGGCTTCTGGTAAAGTAAATTCATCCACCATTACGTCTGGCACGGTATATAATTCAGAGGTCTGATGAGTATCCCAATAAGGAAAGGTGCCTCATCACCATTAGCGTCTCAGAGGGATCGTTCAAAGAGGTTCACCCCGTGATTGTGGCGTTTGAAATTTTGTCTGAGGCAGTGGGTCCTTCTCGTGAAGGATCGGTTAAAGGTGTCTGTTTTTACCCATTCAGGGCCGTAGCCGGCGTGAGTCATCAGTCTGTGCCAAAGCCACTTTTCCCTCGGCTCTCAAAGATCATGAGTGGTGGGACTTTGGGGCCACTGCCTCAGCGACTAGCATCCGTTCCTTCCACTGACAGCATTTTAGCGCCACCCTGTGGCCAAACCCAGGAGGTTTTGGAGGAAACATCAACTTCATCAGCCCCTTTGCTTTTGATGCCGTAGTCACGAGGAAATAGACACGCTTGTATAATTAATACAAAGAAGAAAATCATCACCAGTTCCAAGCCTCTACCATCCTTCACTGGCTCTAAACTCACAAATAGACACAACCCATGATAAATGCAGAATGAATCTACAAGGCTGGACACAAATAGCAGACAGAAATACTGAACATCCTGCAGCACCCTAAGCCAACACAATCTGAATGCATCATGAGGATTTTAGTATTAGATTAGGTTGTTTTTTTTTGTCCAAGCCTGGATATGTATGGAATCCAAGTGAGGCGGCCTGGGAAAGAAGGGAATCGGGTGAGCCTGAGCGTCCATCTGCCAGGCGGAGAGCGGTCTCAGCACTCGCTGTCCCAGGTGGGGGAAGTTCTCCGTCACAGCTGCTAGAGGGTAAGACTTGGGGAAGGGAACATTAAAAATTGCAAATGTGTCTGATTCCATCAAATTATACATGTGGAAGTGAACCAAATTCAGATCCACAGTCTCCTCTCTCAAAAGATGAAGGAGTTATTTTTCTTTTGCAGAATAGCACCGAATAATCAAGCAGCATTTTTAGGGAAACATTTCCTGATTTTATTTATTCTACCTTTTCAAAATAATATGGCAAGACATTATAAGGTGATTACATGGTCCCCTAAAATAACAGAAAACTCTGCCCTACAAAGCTGCAACTCAATCACCACAGATTCACCTGGAACAACAATTAAAGCAGAATCTCAGATTTAGTTTTTAGTTTAGAATTACAGATTTTTTCTTTAGCAGATAAAAAACACAGTGTAAGGAGAGTTTAACGGCACAAAAGATGCAACGTTCGCAAAACTATTGAACGGAAAGCTTCTGCTAGCGCAGTGGTACTATAGCCAGTTGCTAAAACAAATTTACATAACAGTGCCTTTTTAAGCAAATTCTTCAACTTTCTAAGCAATTTTTTGTTATATCCTGACACATTATGTTATATTAGTCATTCAGACAGTGAGAGAAACAAAAACAGCAACTGCGTTAGCTGCTACACATGTACACGGTTAGCTTAGCCAGTGGAGCGGCTGGTCGAAGGGCAGGAATAAGCTAACTGTTGCTAATTTACACACCGTTAGCTGTTATCTTCATTTAGAGCCAAAATGCCTGTTGTTTTTCATCTTCAAAGTGACTTTTTATCTCTTTGCCTGCATGACGGTAAATAATCCATCAGCTGTGGAGATACAAAACAGCGACAGGAACATTTTATTTGCCCGTGCGGGGTGGCCATCGGTTGACCAAAGTGGTGACAAACACCCTATCCCCAAACGCCTGCTCCGAGTTTAACTCTAGTCCTGACATTTTATGTTCTTTTTTGTCTTCATTTTGATATAATTCACCCCAGTGCTGAAGCCCACTGCATTTAGTCATTGTGTTATGAGTTGAAAATGGCACTCTGCTGTCTCACTCTTAATCATTAAGTGTATTGTTGCCTTCACTGGCTACAGCTAACTGTATCTTCTTAGTATAGGCGCGAGAGCTGTCTGCCATTGCCAAAAATGACACTATTTGATTAAATATGAACAGTAACTAAACAAGATAGTGCAGCCTGGCCAACATCAACAGCAACTCGCTGAAAGCTGGAAACAACCTTCATTGCCCTGGTGTTTGGACACAGTTTTCACATTGTCGTGATTCCTTGGCCCTTTGCACTCCTTTAATTTATCCAGAGACTTCTTTTTACGTTTTCTGTTATTTCTTCTTTAAATTGGTTTTGCATGTTAGTGGTTGTTCTGAAGCGTTTGTTTTGTGCCTGTCCTTAATTTGTCCTCTTTGTATTATTTTCTGAAACCTTGGAGCAATTTGTATCCCTTTATAGTCGCTTTGTTCAGATGGCATTTTTCTTTCCCGTATTGGTACTAATTTGCATGCCATTTAGGTTGTTTTGTGTCACATTTATTCAACTGCTCAGCTACGCAGCATAACACAGATAATTTGTGCTATATTGGAATTTGACTCAGTAAATTTAAGTGCTCACTGAAGTTTGACAATCGTTTTTTGGGGGCGTTAAACCAGCGGAGGAAAAATAATGTCTCTCCTCTGGGACTGGAGTGGTCGAGACTGCTAAGGGGGGCCGGAGCTCTCCACAATTGCGAGGTCCTTGAGGTCGCTGAGTTTTCTTGAGAAGGAGCTCAGTCTGGTACTGAAGGAGCCTCTTTTTTGACTGTGCTCCTCCCCACGGGCCTTCAAACAAGCCCACAGGCCCTTCCAAAGGCCCCCAAGACGTCCCCTGAAATGGTTCCCGATGAAACAGTAGAGCACAGGGTTGATGGCGGAGTTGGAAAAGCCCAGGCAAAGGGTTAGGGGGGTGAGATTGCTGATGGTCCAGGAAACCCAGCAGCTGTCCAGCCAGCCCTCGCTGCTCAGAATATCGATGAAAGTCACGCAGTGAAAGGGGAACCAGCAGAAGAAAAAGGCCAGGACAACTGCCACAACCGTCCAAAGTACCCTCTCCACCCCCCGGGCCACGGGGGTTCTGCCCCCGCCGGAGCTGGGGCTGACGCTGACGCTCGGGGTCAGAGGTCGCTCCGGTTTACCGCAACTCTCCTGGGGCTCGAACGACCTGAAGGAAGGCTTGTTGGAGGGGTTGGAAGGGCCCCGCATTCTCACCAAACCCGTGTCGGCCAGCAAGTGTCTCCCGATGGCGAAATAGCAGCAAGAGATGGCCAGGAGTGGCAGCAGGAAGGCCAGGATGATCTTCATCCAGGCCAGGCCCTGCTGCCAGGCGTGGCTGGGGTACAGAATCACGCAGGCCTCCACGCTGAGCCCCTCGAGGTGGTAGGTGTCCCTCAGGGCGAAGGTAGGGGCCGAGCAGGCGCACGCCAGCACCCACACCAGCACGCACATGGCCCGGGCGCGCCTTGGGTCCCGCGCGCTCTGCGAGCGGAGCGGGTGCACGATGGCCAGGTACCGGTCCATGCTCATGCAGGTGATGAAGAAGATGGAGGCGTAGAGGTTGAGGTTGTTGAGGGCGCCGCAGATCTTGCAGGCCGCCCGGCCGAAGGGCCAGCTGTAGCCCCGGGAGTAGTAGACGGCCCACAGCGGGAGGGACAGCAGGAAGAGAA